GGCGGAGGGGCACCAGGGCCCAGACACCGCGGGGGACAGAGTCCCCACAGCGCACGGGGAGGATGCCAGAGCAGAGGGGGGCGCGGCAGGACTGAGAGAGGGCAGCAAAAAGGGGGACAGTGACGTGGGGGGCGGGGAGGAGAAGAGGAAAATGCGGGGGTTGAAAACACCCTCGTTCGGATGGTCCCCTGAGGAGACAAAGCCCGGGGGGGGCGGAACACGGGGACAGGAAACAGACAGAGAGACCCAGAGACACAGACACCTCACTGCTGTCAATTTGCAGATGGACCCAGAGGACGCCGACGGGAAGGAGAGAGGAGCCCAGAAACACCCTGCAAGGAGAACAGCAGAGAGGGACCGGGGGGCCAAGCCGGAGGGCAGCCTCGGCCTCGGGGACAAGGAGGTGGTCGCCCACGACAGCAAGTTCAAGATGCCCAAGTTCAGGATGCCTTCCTTCTGCACGTCAGGGGCAGCCATGGAGGCCTCAGGGGACGTGTCCCTGCCAAACGCTGAGGCAGACGTGTCCCTGCCCTCCATCCAGTCTGACGTCAAGGCCAGTGACCTCAGTATCGAGCTGCTGTCTGCCGACATGGACATCAAGACAGGCGAGCTGGGAGTGAAGCTCCCGGAGGGCCACCTCCCTGAGGGAGAGCTCGAGGGACCCTCCTCCGGAATGGGGTTCAAAGGGCACCTGCCCAAGGTGCACATGTCCAGCATGAAGATGCCCAAAGTAGACTTCACGGGCCCCCAGGTGGACATCAAGGGGCCCAAGCTGGACCTGAAGGGCGCCAAAGGGGAGGTGACCGTCCCCGATATGGAGGTTTCGCTGCCCAGCATGGAGGCGGACATCCAGGCACCAGGCCCAATGGTGGAGGGAGATGTTGTCCTGAGGGACAAGGAGATGGACACCTGGGAGGGGAAGTTCAAGATTCCCAAGTTCAAGATGCCTTCCTTCGGAGTGTCGAGGCCAGAGGTAAACTGGGGGACATCTGTGGACATGCCCGAGACCGAGTCGAGAGGGGAGGCGAGACTTCCTTCCCTGGAAGGTGAGATGCGAGTCCCAGAGGGTACCATCCACTTGCCATCAGCTGACCTCGAGCTCCCTGGGGGAGAGTGGGCGGTGGCCGTCCCCAAGGGAGAGGTGACCCAGGGAGAGCTGAAAGGCAACGCAGGAGCCAGATTCAAAGGCCACACGGCCAAGGTGCAGATGCCCAGCATCCAGGTACCCAAGGTGGATATAAAGGGTCCCCACGTGGACATCAAGGGGACCAAACTGGACTTGAAGGACGCCAAAGGGGAGGTGACTGTACCCAACATGGAGGTGTCACTGCCCAGCATAGACCACATGCAGGCACCAGGGATCAGACA